CATATAGATTTTTTTCAGCCTAAAACCATCCTTGGGACACGTGCGCAGGTGGCAGTTTCAAAAAAATCGGTTCAGCCGCTCTCGAGCCTTGCGAAAACTAACAAACGGCTTTCTAAATATAAATTAGTTGAGATATATTCTATATTATAATTATATTTTGACAGTCTCCGTTGTTTCTGATTGGCGCAAAAAAATCTTGCCTAGTGACGAATTCGCCCTTTGATATGGTCGTTACTTAAAGCTATTTATATTCGAAATTGCATGAAAATTGGAAAACAGGAATCTATAAGCTTATCCAGGCAAAAAGCTACCTAAGTACCGAATTTTAAGCAAATCGGACCATAAATACGATTTCTTCGAACAGATCGGTCCCTGGTCCACTTCTCGGACAAAATGGATCATATATGCTAAAAAGCCACCTACGTACCGAATTTTAAGCAAATCGGACCGTAAATACGATTTTTTCGAATAGATCAATCGGTCCCTGGACCACTTCCCGGAAAAAATGGGTCATATATGCTAATATATGCTAAAAAGCTACTTACGTACTAAATTTTAAGCAAATCGGACTATAATAAGATTTTTTCGAATAGACCGGTCCCTGGTCCACCTACAAGAAAAAAAGTAAAAATTTTTAGCCTAAAACATGGTGGTTACCGAAAGCTATTTGTATACAAAATTTCATGAAAATCGGACCAGCCGTTCGCGAGATTACCTGTTACAAAAAAAGGGACTTCTCTTTATATAATTAGTATAGAAGATATTTTAGTGTTTCTCCTTATCAAGCTAATTAATTGTACTATAAAATCTCCAAAAACGTAAATTTTTACATCTCTTTATTATTAAACGTGCGACATTTATTTATTTATGTATGTATGTCCTTAAATCTTCCCTCGATATGAATTATTGTAAGTAGATTTTAAAGTAATAAAAGTTATATATTATATATAAAAACGTTACAACAATACGTGCATTTAAAAAGTATATTTACATCGTTTTTTGCACCTTTTCGCTACGGCTATTCGTTGATGAAATCACCTGAATGGCACATCAGCACACCAAATCAACCACAATTGTATTTCCTAGATAAGAAAAAAATCGAAATTAATGTTAAATTAATAAATGTAAATAACGTTTTGAGAATACACATATATGTGTAGATTTTAAAGTAATAAAAGTTATATATTATATATAAAAACGTTACAACAATACGTGCATTTAAAAAGTATATTTACATCGTTTTTTGCACCTTTTCGCTACGGCTATTCGTTGATGAAATCACCTGAATGGCACATCAGCACACCAAATCAACCACAATTGTATTTCCTAGATAAGAAAAAAATCGAAATTAATGTTAAATTAATAAATGTAAATAACGTTTTGAGAATACACATATATGTGTAGATTTTAAAGTAATAAAAGTTATATATTATATATAAAAACGTTACAACAATACGTGCATTTAAAAAGTATATTTACATCGTTTTTTGCACCTTTTCGCTACGGCTATTCGTTGATGAAATCACCTGAATGGCACATCAGCACACCAAATCAACCACAATTGTATTTCCTAGATAAGAAAAAAATCGAAATTAATGTTAAATTAATAAATGTAAATAACGTTTTGAGAATACACATATATGTGGCATTTTGTTAAAATAACTTATCTTTAGATAGACCATTTTGTTTTATATATTTCATTGTGTAACCAGTAAATAAAGTTCCTGTTAATTTTTAAACCCTTTTTGCATTCTGTGTAACCGGTAAATTTTGTTACCATCTCATAAGCTGGTTACAAAGTATTGCCCCATGAAATGTGCAATACCAGAAATTTTACAAATCTTCATAACTGAATTGCTGAAGATTTTGACTGCATTATCAGTTGCTTTATCAAAATGCCGCGGATATACATCGTCACCTTAATTCACAAAGGCCGTAACCAACCAATTTTTAATTTTACAGGAGAAGCAAAAAACATTATAAAAAGAGTATCAAAAATAGGTAGGGCCTTTTAAAAAGTGTCATGTAACTCCGTTGTTTTTGGTACTAACACTTAAAAATTTTTGTTGAAGGTGTATTTTAATACATCCTACCATACTCCGTGAAAAACGCAGTTTCGAAAAAAGTGTTTGGTTAATAAGGCCTTTGTGAATTAAGGTAACGATATGTACATATGTGTGTTAGTGGATGTGTGCGTGTATTCTGTACAACCATGTATACAATAAAAATATTGACATGTTTTTAAATAACAAAATTTTATTTTTTATGTTAATCTAACTTTATAAATTAAATTAATTAGAAAGAAAAAATTATAATTAGGGTATTCACAATATGTCGTAAGCATCGTAAAATCATAAAATGTTTCAATGTAAAATAACGGTTAGAATGGTTGTAAAGGATTTGTAGGGTATAATAAGGGCTAATTATATATTATATACGTTTTAAACATTTTGGCGTAGTTACACATCCTCTAAAAGCATTTTAACAGTAATTTTACATTGAAAAATTTTACGATTTTATGACTTTACGACTTGTTGTGAATACCCTCAATATATTTTATTATATAATTAATCAAAAATGAATAGTTGATGATACAAATTAAAATATATTTTACTAGCTTATGCCCGCGGGTTTCACCCCGCGTTTTTATAGAAATATGAAAAAAATTATAGATGTTAGATTTTATTTCTGTACCCATTTAGTTATAGCTCGTTATTTTTAAGCGAGTTAAAGTTAAAACTATGAAATNAAAGTGTGTTTGCATTGTTCAACTTTGCGTTCAACATTTGCGTTCAACTCAGCGCAGGGTTGCACGAAAAAAAAGTTGAATGGCTAAAAATATCAAAATATGAAAAAATATCCAAATATTCGCAATAAAAAGGTGTTTGCATTGTTCAACTTTGCATTCAACTTTTGGTTGAATGGCCTTTCAACTTATCGCTTTCAACAAAGTTGGTCGCCAGCCAACATTTAGCCATTCAACTTTTTTTTCGTGCAACCCTGCGTTGAGTTGAACGCAATTGTTGAACGCAAAGTTGAATAATGCAAACACTGCTTAAGACCATCCTAGTAGCCTATTTTTCAATCCAGGTCATAAACCATCTTTGGGCAAAATTTAATTTTCAAACAGGTGGCAATTTTTAAAAACGTAGCCTACTTTCCAANGAGCAATTGATACATTTTGCATAAACAACTCCATACCAAGTTCCAGTATCTTTCCACAAACACTTCCAGGGATATGTGGCNAATGCAAACACTGCTTAAGACCATCCTAGTAGCCTATTTTTCAATCCAGGTCATAAACCATCTTTGGGCAAAATTTAATTTTCAAACAGGTGGCAATTTTTAAAAACGTAGCCTACTTTCCAATCTAGGTCAGAAGCTATCTGTGTGCAAACTTTCATGCAAATCAGTTCAGTCATTTACGCGTATTAATTTAATTAAACTTTTCTAATACGTGACAGCTCTTAAAAAAGTAGCCTATTTCTCAACATAGGTCATAAGCTATATCTACGCGAAATGTCATGCAAATCTGTTCAGTCCTTTCCGCGTATTAATTTAATTAAACTTTTCTAATACGTGACAGCTCTTAAAAAAGTAGCCTATTTCTCAACATAGGTCATAAGCTATCTGCTTGCAAAATTTCATGCAAATCCGTTCAGACTGTTCCGCGTATTAATTTAATAAATCTTTTTTAGCAGGTGGTAACTCTTAAAAAATTAGCCAGTTTTTCAACCTACCTCATAAGCTATCTATGTGCAAACTTCCATGCAAATTAATTCACTCATTTCCACGTATTAATTAAATTAAACATTTCTAATAGGTGGCAACTCTTAAAAAAAGTAGCCTACTTTCTAACCTAGGTGATAAGCTATCTGTGTGCAAAATTTCATGCAAATCTGTTTAGTCGTTTCCGCGTATTAATTTGATTAAACTTTTTTAACAGTTGGCAACTCTTCCAAAAATTAGCCTATTTTCCACTGTAGGTCATAAGCTATCTGCTTGCAAAATTTGGTGGAAATCCATTCAGTCGTTTCCATGTATTAATTTAATGAAACTTTTTTAACAGATGGCAACTCTTAAGAAAAGTAGCCTATTTTCCAATCTAGGTCATAAGCTATCTCTGTGCAAATTTTCATCCAAATCTATTCATCGTTCCCGCATATTAAATAAATTAAACTTTTTTAACAGGCGGCATCTCTTAAAAAATAGCCTATTAACCAATCTGGCCTATAAGCTATCTGCGTACCAAATTTCATGCAAATCCGTTCAGTCGTTTCCACGTGATGATTTCCCAAACATCCAAACATACAAACTTTCACATTTATAATATTAGTAAGATTATTAATAAATCTAAAATTAATACCTGAAAATATATACACCTTAAAATATCTATATCCAACTTAAAAGTAATACTAATTAAAAATTACAATATATTTTATTATATAATAAATCTAAAATTAATAGCTTAAAATATCTATATACAACGTAAAACTAATACTAATTAAAAATTATAATATATTTTATTATTAATAAATCTAAATTAAGAGTTGGTAAGATTATTATAACTATTCCTTAAGGGCTAATTATACATAACTTATATCAAGTACTTAAATCATACTTTTAATATTTACAACTAATACTATCTTACTCTAGCCTAGCTTAACCTTAAGTTTATGTTTTTTGAAGTGAAACTTCTTAGGCGGCGGCATCGCAAAAATCGAGAGTGGAATTTTTAAAACTGAGTGAGAAGGAAGACATAGGTAGTACAGGGAAGGGGAAAAAAGAAATAAAGCGACGCATGACGGGTACGAGTGCCTACATATGCATATTTGNCTTCTGAAATAATATTTAAAGTATATTAATCATTTCTGAGAGCTGGGCATCAACAATTAAAGCGTACTTCTAATTGCCGCTGTTGTGATGAGATGCCGCTAATTTTCTCCATTTTGAGTCCCTTCTGTCACCTGAAAAAGACATGCGTGCCAAATGAACTTTTCTCTCAAAGTTTACACTGCTGGCAAATGTAAATAAGGATTACAATTTAAACACTAATTAATCCGACTAAAGTAAAATCAGTGGAAAATTAACAATAAAATACTTTTTTCGAAAAATCTATAAAGGACCCTTTTATTTCTCAAAAAAACCTGGGTAACAGTTGTTCGTCGCCGCGCTGTAAAGTAAAAGTACAGTTTTCTACCAAAATAAAAAAAAAACCTTATTTCCACAAATTTTATTTTTTATTAATAAGGTCAATGAGTGAACTTTACCTTTATAAAAAACATTTTATATGTCATAATAAAAACGGTTTACTATCCAAATGAATTACTTTTATTTATGCCTAGATATATTAAAATTTGGGCGTGGAACTTGTCCAACCTAGACCGAAGGTTCCTCAAAAAGCTTGTAAGAAACGGCTTCGATTTTACCCAAACGACTTCACCAGACGTACGTCTTCGGTTCGATAAGAAAAAACGACGTCGGAATGACGTTGAATTTTGTATGGAAAAAACGACTTCGTTTCAGCGTTGTTTCGAGTTTACCCAAACGATTTCACCAAAGCGACGTCGTAACGACGTCGTTTAGAGTTGACCCAAACGACTTCACCAGAGCGACGTCGTAACGACGTCGTTTCGAGTTCACCAAAACGACTTCACCAGAGCGACGTCGAAACGACATCGTTTCGAGTTCACCCAAACGACTTCACCAGGGCGACGTCGTAACGGCTTTACCAAAGCGACGTCGTAACGACGTCGTTTCGTGTTCACCAAAACGACTTCGCCAGAGCGACGTAGTAACGACGTCGTCTTCGCCCTGTGGCAAATTGGGTACTTATGGACAGCCATGTTTTCATGCATGTATATATATTTATATTTGAATGGTTGTATATATATTTGTACGTATGCACATATGTTTGTGTACATGTATATATGCACATATCGATGGCTGAGTGGAAGATCGACCTATCTCGGCAGCCAGTTCGAAAACGCCCTATCTCCGAAAAATTTTCAACAACGCTCTATCTCAGAAAACTTTTCAAGAACGCCCTAGTTCATAATTTTATTGAAAAACTCCCTATCCCAGAATTTGGTTGAAGAACGCGCTATCTTAGCTGCCGATTCAAAAACGCCCTATCTCAGCTTATTTGCAATGTATTTTCAATTGAGATAGGGCGTTTTTGAACCGAATTATGAAATAGGGCGTTATTCAACCAAATTCTGAGATAGGGTATTTTTCAAAAAAATTCTGAAAAAGGGCGTTTTTCAATCAAATTCTGAAGTAGGGCGTTTTTGAAAAGTTTTCTGAGATAGGGCGTTTTTGAACTGGCTGCCGAGATAGGTCGATCTTCCACTCAGCCATCGATAGTAGTACAAA